TTGCCGACCCCTGCTGTAGCCTGACCCAGCATTTCGGCCCAGATCTCTAGAGGTAGCAGGTTGATGCAGAAACCCACTAAGCCCCCAGGTAAAGAAGTTTTTATGACTGCATAGCTCTATGATCACTTTTATGTGCACGTCTGACGTGGTGCAGCTGTTCATGCCACAGAAGAAGAAAACCTCAGCTGCTGCTATTATAAACCCAAAGTTCCCCATAACGTCTCCCGGTTCCTATTAACCAGGGGGCTTGGAATTAAAGAGAGGCAATTCCCATGAAAAAAGCCCACACCATGTGCATTTAAAAACAAGGCACCTCCTTTTAGCCCCAATATGATTCTCAGCGGCAATCGTGCAAAACTCCCCATTCCAAATAAGAGACCTGCTTCAGCACAGCAAGAAACCTGTGAAGCCAAAATACTTCCAGCTCTACATTTGAGTCCTGTCACTCTTCTCCATTATAACACCTAACACAAGAGCCATCCCTGTGGCCACTCTGCCATATCTCCCCAGGACTGGGAATACTCCAAGCGCTGTCACTTTAAGGGTTTAGAAGGTGTTGTTTTAACAACCTCTAAGCCCCCCTTCTCAGTTTCAGCTTAGTGCTGAGATCACATCCCTCACTGCCGCTAAGAGACAAAAGCCATTTATCAACCTATCTGATAAACCTCCAATAGGCCTGGATCCTTATCTGGAATAAACCACACTGCCTGGATGGATTGGAGGCATTAATTCCCACTCCTTGGAGAAAGAGGCTTATTACAGCAAATATCAGGGTCACCTCATCAAGGGGAACTGGATCGGCTTCTCAGCTAGACCCAAAAGCAACAGCAGCTTCTTACAGAGTGTGGTACAGGGGACAAACCCAGGAGTCCTTCTTAGGCAAAACTCATAGGGCCAGATTTTCAATACAGTTCAGCTCCCATTTAGGCTCTGAAATAAAAGGCTGGATTTTAACAAGAGCTCAGCACAGAGGGTGCTGAGTGCCACATACGTTACCCTAAGGGCTGCAAACGGGAGCTACCGGATACTGAGCAGTTTTAGAGACAAGGCCCTAATAATGAGGGCTGAGCACTTGCAAATTGAGCCTAGATCCTTGGGAAATCTGACCCCTAGACTCCTCCGTAGGAGATTTGCGTAGGGAAGAGGGAATACAAAATGTCAGGATTTGGTCTGATTCTCCCACCGGCTGTTTTGTACCAGTGCAACTCCACAATGGGGTTACCCATGAGCCACGCTGGGGTGAGAGAAAAATCCGGTCCCATGGTGCAAATGAGGAGGAACTCAGGGCAAACCACTAGGGTCAAAGCACCGGGAGATCTGAATGTTTCATTAAAAGCAAAAAATCAAGAAAAAGTGCAGGGCTTGGTGGGGCACTCAGCTCACACACCGAGCGCTCTGTCGGGACAGGCTGGGAGCAGCGCTCAGCACGGCCCCTCTAAAACAGGCTGTAACTTTTAGAAGCAGTTTTAAGACTCCATCAGGGTTACAGCACCTCTTTACTATGTGCTGCTGAGATGTGAATTAGCAGGAGGCAGAATGGAGAGAAGGGGGGAGACACCCAGGTGCAGACACCCCTTTTTCTTCCTCCTACCTCGCGGACCCCTATTAAAATGCAGAGCGAGGGACAAGCATAATGAATGAGGAGCATGGTCTAGATTTGTGCCCAAACTCCTCTTAGCAGTTCACAGTGGGTCTTGATTACCCAGTTTTGCCAGTTCCTTGAAATATATTTGGCTGTTGAGGGGAGAATTAAAAACAAAACACAAACTCACAGCTCTAATATCAAGTTCTTTCTTGCATGGCAAACTCAGCCCCAGCACTTTGACTCGAAGGCTGCGTAAAGAACTTAAGCAACATGTATCAGATCTGATCAAAAGCTCCCCACAATGTGAATCTCTGCATTCAGTTTTCTTGGGGCTAAAATATCCCAGTGACCAGGGAGAACTAGGTGGACATGTTGATCCTAATATTTCAACGAAGGGGTTTATTTTACTGTATCAGGGAGGTGGTTAATTTATTTATTTATTGCATGTGTTAGAGACATAGCTTAAGAGATTTAGATAGTGCCAAAGAAATGCATGGGCAATAGAAAAGGGAGAAATGCTATAAAAAATAAAACAGGGGATTTAACTTTAGGGCTTTACTTTTTCTTCCCACCCCCCACCCCTCCCCTCAAATGAAAAAAAAAAAGAGGTAAAGAAACTGGAGAGTTTTGGAAGGAACAAATCTGCCTCTGTGGAGTTGGTTTCCCCTCCCCCAACAAAAACAAGCACTCACGGCTCGAAGGAATTTGCAGGCACAGATCTGCCAAAAACATTGTGAAAAACTATGGGGGATTCATTGGAAACAGATGGCGTTTTCAGCTGTAATTCTGAAATTCTCTCCTTTTCTGACACAATACAAACAAACCGGGGTAAGGCAGAGGGTGGCCCTCAAATGTTATCAAACAGAAAGATTAGCAATAGCTGCAAGTGTATGTCGGTGTGCGCGCAGGGGAGGCGGTAATGGGGGGGTGCCAGGCTTTGGGAAGGGGAATCAGACCCTTGCGGGGCCATCTGACTTGCTTTTTACCCTGTGACAGGGGCAACCTCTTCAACCCCAGCGAAGTGAAGTTTCCTAACTGAGCCATGGCCCAGCAGAGGAGGCAGGCAGTGCTAAAAACCCAACCACGGCCAGGCTGGGTCGGGAAAGGAGGGAATGTGTGATGACCCCCCTCCATCCCAACGCCGTTGGGTCGGATTCCCCGGTGTGTTACTCCAGTTTGATCCCAGTGCAACTCCCTCGAAACAAACGCGGTCACGCTGGTGTCTAGGCGCAGTGGATCAGGACCATTCATGTGTATGCCTGTGTGTGTATTTTAAACATCCCTTCAGATGGCCAGGGGTTGCATGAGTGCTAAGCCTGACCCCCCCCAAATCACAGCTCGAGTCAGTCCCTTATCACAGCCTCGCTTTTTAAAAGCACAAGGCACATTTCAGCCAACTTCTATAGTTCCCCCCCCCGCTGAGCGCATGCAACCAGTCAATGGGCACAACCTGGCATTGAGTAGCTATTTCCCTGGTCACTTTTTCCCTTCTTCCACTGCACACGGCAAACCTAGTCTAGCCTGCCTGAGACGGCAGGAGGGGAGATACTTTCTGCCTCTTACTAACAACGCTCTGATCGCATTCGCGTCTCCCCGTTTCTCCACTGTGATCACCTCCCTCCTGGGGGGACAAGGTCTGTGGAGGCACCAGCGACAGACAGAATCAGAGGTCAAGGAAGAAAAAAAACAAAAAACCACGAGGGGGTTTGTGCTGAAAGCTTTTCAACATGTGGCGAACGGCTGCAGAGAGGGAGGGAGAGGCGGAGAGGCCCCCGGACAGGGGGTCACTGAAACGGCCAGCAAAGGCTTTGTACGAAAAGTCTTCAACCCAAGGGGCTGTTCCTTACCTGCAGGGAAGATGCAGAGAAAGACAGGGAGGATTTGGAAGAATCCCAGGGCTGTGGATCCGGCCCTTCTCCCCATACCCATCCATCCAGCTCGAGCTTGAACCACTATCCTCTCCCTGGAAGAAGAGTTTAAAAAAAAAAAAAAAGAGAGAGAGAGAGAGAGTGGAAGAAAAATAAATCAATCGAAAGGAAGGAGAGAAACTGAAAAGAATCCCTCAGCCCCCCAGCGAGCGAGAGTCTGTCTAGCTGGGCAGGGCAGGGAGCCCTCGCTGGCAGGCTCCAGTCGCCTCGGCACTGAAATTACACAGACTTTTTTTCTTCTTCTTCTCTCCTTTCCCCCTTACAAAACAGTCCAAACCATCAATCATCCCCGCTGCCTTCCAATGTCTACCGAGCTCCTCCTTTCCTCCAGTCAGGAGCCAGCGACTCCGCCTCCCAGGCCAGGCAGGCTCCTCTTACAGCCAAGCAGCGCACTGAAGCAGGAGGGTGGGAGGAAGAAAGAGGCGGAGGAATTAATTCATTCCATGCACTAGTCTAGAGCAATGAGAGAGAGAGAGGCCGGTTACACTAAAGCACTAACCACAGAAACCCCTAACCCCCAGAACACCCCTCTGGAAAGAGAAACCCACCCAGAGACTGGCTAGGCTGGACAGGGATCCTGGCTGGGGATCAGGCTTCCTTCTGTACTTACAGCGGAACTGACTGGAAAAGGGACAGTGCTGGGTCCCGGATTTCGCTCCCAGCCATTTCACAGTTTGGTTTGCGAGTCACCAAAAAATAATGTTGTTTTTTTTTTTCTAGCTGCCAGCAAGTGCCTGGGATCTGAAAATCCAGCAGGGTTTCCTCTGCCGCCTACCTAGTGAGGCAACCACGCTGGGCACTGACACAGCACTTAGGTTGTCAAAAGGCTGCACAAAGGGTAACTGGTGTAGCCCCCGGAGGGAAGGGGAAGGATCATTACCTCCCTTGTAGTAAGGGGGAAACTGAGGCATGGAGGTCCAGCTCCTCAAAGGGATTTAGGCTCCTAAATCCCATTGAGGATCTGGGCCTGAGAGCTTACATAATTTAGCCAAGGTCACCCACTGAGTCTATGGCAGAGAAAGAGGACATAGGAGTTTCTGGCTCCCAGCCCTGTGCTCAGTCCACTAAAGGATACTGTCACCCCTTGTCACTGGCAATGAGCATTCTGCCATCAGAAACCAGCTGACAGTTTGCTGTAGGCGTACGTGTTTCACAACAGAATCCAGCTCGCTCTTCCACAGCTGCATTAACAGGAGTGAAGTAAGCCCATATGACTCAGAAACACACATGGAGCACATTTCATAGCTTCATGTCATTAGTCTGATAGATGTTAGAAATGGAAATGCTCTATTAAGTCACTTAGTCGAGCTCCCGACCAATGAAGGATAGATCCCTATCATACATTTGCTGGTGTATTCTCAAGACCAATGTTAAATAGCCAGCCAAATACTCTTCCGGAACTTCCGTAGGATAACTATACTGCAGCCTAACAGATCTCACTGTCAAGAAGTTGTTGCTGATATTCAGCTTGTCCCTATCTATCTGGGAGAGTTTTACCCATTATACTGATATAGTCATACAGGTCTAGTTGTACCAGCGTAACCCCCCATGTGGACACTCTTATTCCAATAAGAGTGATTTTCTTCAGTTTAGTTTATGTCACTTGGGAAGGGGTGGCTAAACCAAAGAATGCCGCTCTTAAGAGTATCTCTGTAGGAGAATCATACCGTATAACTAGATTCGTTTAAATTCACTCCTTTGCTTATAGCAAAAACACTTTCCTTGAAGCAGGTTCAAACTACAATGAACTAAGGCCACTGTAATTCTGAATCAGAGCATCTGCACAGGGATTTGATGCACTTTAACTTCACAATTTTAGTTAATTCATCTTAACTTTCCATGCCACTGTAGTGCCGATGGGAAGGGTTTTTCCATCGATGCAGGTAATCCACCTCTCTGAAAAACAGTAGCTATGTGGATGGAAGAATTCTTCCCTTGACCTAGCTGCGTTTACAGTTGGGTTACCTTAACCTAACTACAGCTCACAGGTGGCAAAATTTTTCACCGCCCAGAGTGATGTAACTAGGTTGACCTAAGTTTAAGGTTTAGACCAGGCCTCAGCTTTAAAAAAAAATCCTGCCTGGGGTGAAGTGAAGAGGCTGCAATAAGATCACATATTTTGAGACGCAAGTTTCTCAAATATCTCCATTTGTCTATTGTGTGAAGTTGTGGGGTTTTGAGTTTCCAATACTCCAAACAGCTGTGTGGGCTGAAACCATATGTGTAGTGTATGTGGGGGGTACTGCCCCCCCAAACGGCAAGCCTGGGGCAGGCATGGAATTTGCCTCCCCATGTGCAGCCCCGTTGGCCTGACTGGAGCTGCCCCCCCAAATATAGAAGTCAAACTACACCTATGCCTGAAGCACTGGATTTTTATCCAGGCTGTACTAGGAATAAAAGTGAAGGTGATTCTGTGTGGAATCAAAAGAGCACAGTTGCGAGCGAGGGGCCTTGTCCACTTCACAAAGGGGCTGCAGTCGGCTCTGAGTTTGAACCAGCACCATTTCCCGCCGTTCTGATCCTGGAGCCTGCACACTCGGATGCGCACTAAAGTCAATGGGAGGTTTGTGTGCAGAAGGGCTTCAGGATCAGCCTGAGCAGGGAAAGAGATTAAAAACGGACCCACATGAAGCTTCAGCCTTCAGGTCAGTGAAAACTGTGCTGCCACAAAACAAATATCTGGTTCTACTGACTCCAGTTCGCAACCTTCCCGTTTCCCTCCCCACCTCTCCGGACACATTTAGGCTTAGCTGCATGAGGTATTGCACGTTTGACTGCTGTTTGTGCACAACGGAAGGCAGCCGCTTTCATTGGTGAAAACTAGACATTGGTCTAAACAGGCCCAAAATATGGATGTTTCTGAAGTTCCACTCTGGATCCAGTTCCACATTTTGCAAATGACCTCTACCTTTGTAATGAGTTGAACCAAAGACCTGGATCTCTAGCATCCCCAAATTGTTTGAAATTTGGGATCTGAACTTTGCCTAAGGGAGACAATCTAGGCATCTACCTTTGAAATGAATTGGGAGGGGATACTGACTGCATTCTCCCTTATTTCTTTTCTTCCTAAAGCCTAAATGCTGTCGCCAACAAGGATCTCACGTTTTAGATTGCACCTTTCACCCTAAAGGATCCCTAAGCTTTTTACAAACAACACACAGGGAACACTTCATCCACCACAGAAATGCAGCCACTGTGAGGTAGAACACAATAATGCTGTACAACAGCTTCGTACAGGGAGCAAAGAGGCATCCTCGATCCAGCGGGCTGCTGGGAGCTTGTAGGGTAGTAGAATATTGTGATCTGAACTGGAATTAGAACAGTATGCTAGGGCTAACACACCCTAGCCCCTGAATAAAAGTGTCCGTAGGATTTAAATCAGTGCTAGCAGGCAGGATCTCTGGTTTATGTATCTCATGGAAGACAGGATGACCCGTGGCAAAGCACTCACCCTGGGGAGACTCCAACCCTGTGTAGCCACAGTGGAGTGAGAAATGGACTAAGTGTTGCCTGACCCTCTAAGTGCCAAATGTATCCCTGATGTAACTCCATTGATTTCCATAGTCTCACAACCTGGATGAATTCAGTGCTAATTCTTTGGTTATTAAAAAAGGATCAGCTAATCAGAGGCTCCTACAATACCAAGGACAGGGGCCAAATCTACCCTTGAAGCCAATGGACCTGATTCTGCTGCCTCTGAAGCCAATGGAAATAGAACTGGGCCTTTGAAGACTTTCTGCTGCCTGTAGCTAGTGGTTAGAGTAGGGGAACTATTCTTGGCTCTCACAAAAACGGACTGACTGTGGCTTTTATCCACCAATCTATCTAACCACTATGACTTTATTTACCATTCAGTTTAGTATCTAGGAACCTTAAGACAGCAACTTCACTGCTCTATGCCTCAGTTACCTCCTCACAGGGGCTGGGAAACTTAATCAACTGATGTTTGCTAAGTGCTTTGGGAGCCTGGGATGAAAGTTTTCAGAGCACAATTCTGCTCCCATTTAAACCAATGGCAAAACTCTGATTAACTTCAATGAGTGAAGAATTGGGCCCCAAAACAGCAAGTACGATATAATCTTTTGTAACAGTGCATGGTATCATTTCAGTTCATGAACCACCATTTAATATCTAGGGCTGTAAAAGCCTGTAGTTTATAAGCCTGGTATCAGATACTCATGTATTATCTACATTATGCATACATGGACATTTATACAGCTACTGATGAGAGATTTTCAGAACTTACTTATCAATTTCCCAGTGTTTCCATGTGATTAGAATGAACCCCAAATGTGTAGCTACCAAATGAAGGTGAATGAAGACGAGAGAGATGATGTGTGTATGGACATGTCTCTAAACACACTGAGTGCTGGAGTATTTGGACTAGTGAATGGTTTTCGTGCCAAATGTGAATACCATGAATGATGGGCAATAGTAAAAAATAACCAAGTTATTCATCAATCTCAAAACTGATTAGAAGGACTAAGGCCAACCTAAAATCTAGAAGATTCCCATATGAGAAGATCCCATGTTCCGACCAGCCCCGAAGGACAGTGACTATCTGCAATGCAAAAAACTAGAGGGGACAGCACACAGCTCTGAAACAGACATATTTCTCCCATACCCATTTTGCAGGATCTCCCCATTGGCACAGGGTGACCATAGAGTAGCTCACTGCCCACCCCTTGCTGATTGGCCTTGCTTGTTATCCCACCTTCCCTGCCTATTTGTTTGGCTGACTTGTTGCGTCTCGTTTTAAATTTAAGCTCTTTGGGGCAGGGGCTGCTTTTTACTATATGTTCATATAGAGCCTAACCCAACAGGGCACTGTTCCGGGGGGCCTCTTGGTGCTACTGCCATAAACATAATTCTAATAACAGCCATTGAGGCATGAGGGTTCCCGGGATTACATGTGTTCAGGTTGGCGGGTGTGTTTCCCTCCTGCGCTGCAGAGAAAGAGCAGCTTTTCCTGACCTATCCCGCCACAGGAATCTGAATATGAAAGGTGCTTCTACATCATGTAGGGTGGCCAGATAGCAAGTGTGAAAAATAAAGGGGGTCTAGTTGCATATATAAGACAAAGTCCCTAATAGCGGGAGGTCCGGTCACCCAAACAACATGTATTGGGATTTGGTTTAAACAACAGAATCCTGATCAATTCCAAAAGCCGATGGAAAAGGGGAGGGAAGGGGGCATTGACTCTTTGGAGAGAAAAAGGATCAATGAAGCTCTGGGAAAGATTGACAAGTGATTTTAAAATGAGCATGCAAATCAAGCCAATGCTTGTGCTTTGGAGGATTCCCTTATTTTTTTAAAAAGCCAGCAACACTGTATCTTTCTTGCAGTAAGGATCCAAACCTATAGAGTTTGCAAGAGGGTGATTAGATGGAGAACACTGCAGTATTTTTTAAACAAGAACCGTCTGTACCCTACATTTAATTACCGCTACACTGCAGTCTCTCTCAAAGTGTGGATGTGTGCAGTAACTCCCATTTGATTAACATTTAGACCCTTAGACGTTAGGTAGCAGCTGGATAAGTGTCTCAAAATGCTGCTCTGCTAACATGTTTTCCTGCCCTGAAAAATCCGTGTATAGCAACTAATAGGGAAGGTATTCTATTGCAGGCTTCATTAGTGCATTGGGCATGGTAGTTACAGTATCTTAATGGGGTAGGTCAGAGGAGATGGTATCTGAAAGAGGCTTTGAAGAGAAGCATGCAGGCTGACTGTTGCTTGGCAAAGAGCAAAGAGGATTCTTCGTTGCAACAGCTGAGTTTTTGGTGGTTGGGCAATCTAAATATATATCTGCTTATATGAATCCTGGACTCAGTAGCCTGACTCTTTAAAGGGACACTGTTAGGTGTCAGTTGTGGATTATTAAAATTTTGTAATGCCACCACCAATAAATAAAATACTTTGCTCTTATACAGCACCTTCCATCCAAGAATCTCAAAGCCCTCTACAAATCAATTAAGCTTTTCAAAACCTCATGAGGAGGGTAAAGATATTTTGGGATCGCTACATGAAGTGATCACCCAAAGCAACTAGTGCAAATATAATGGCTTGTCAATTCGTAATGCAATAATGATCAAGTTAGGCAGGGAGGAGGAATGTATGAGAAATCCTTCATTCCTACCCGCAAAAGAAAGCAAAAGGAGCTGGATATTTTCAATAGAATAAAACTTGTCACGTCAACTTGTTTGCAGTGTAGTTGTAGCGGTGTGGGTCCCAGGGTATTAGAGAGACAAGGTGGGTGAAGTCATATCTTTTATTGGACCAACTTCTGTTGGTGAAAAGGGCGAGCTTTCGAGGTTGCACAGAGCTCTTCTTCAGGTCCTGAGTAAGCTCTGTGTAAACTCAAAAGCTTGTCTCTTTCACCAACAAAAGTTGGTCCAAAGATGTTACCTCACCCCCCCCCTTGTGTGACAGGTGACATTCAACTCCTTCCTCCCCCTAATTTGTTTGCAACATATTGTGGGGCTAGGCTTGAATCTCACACATCACATAATATAACCTCTCCTTGTTCTGAAGTGTTTAGAAGAGCGGCTGGAATTCTTCTTCTGTATATTTAGTTCTCTGCAGGGAGCTCTGCCTTCGTCCCCATCTCCTACCAGAGTAAATCCCAAACAACATTCCTATTGCATCTATTTCACATCTGAGTGAAGCTCTAATCAACAACTGGACTAATAGGTGGTCATGTCTGTGAGCAAGTTTCATGGCTGTTGGTGAAATGTATGTGGCTCAATTGAAAATCTGGGTAACTTCTAACTGCCAAAAAATAAACAGAAGGGCTCTTCAACCCTGTTTTGATTTTCTGTCAGAACAGAGAGAAATCAATTTAGTATAATTGGACAATAATGCTGCCTCTTCTTTCCCTGCTGCTTCTAAAATCCACTTTTGTCTCTAGAAATTGCAAGAGTTCCTACAAATATATTTGTCTAATCCGCCTCTTCCCATCCAAACAGGATGTCTAAGGACCTCTCCTAGCTCTGATCAATAAAAGGTAACAGGTCTTTCTGTGGAACAGCTGGGATGGAGACACCAATTTTCCTGAAGGCTAGATCACCAGTATACTGTGGCTGGAGAAAGTAGGAGTTTAGGAGGGGCACAGAGCAAGCAGGAGCCTGCAGGAGATGCTCTTTAAGGTGCCTTCTGACTTTATGTGGCAACACTGTACCATCCCACTTGGGTTGTCTAGTGTGGATTCCTGAAGATGATGCCTAGAAATGTGATCCACCACACCATGCCATTTCTGCTTTCAGTTATGAAACACTAAGGACAGTCTAGAATCAGAGGGGTAGCCGTGTTAGTCTGGAGCTGTAAAAAGCAACAAAGAGTCCTGTGGCACCTTATAGACTAACAGATGTACAGTCTAGTAGATGTTGTCACTATGCATTTTTAAAAACTTTAAAAAACTACCTGAATATCTCCCAGGAAAATAAATCGTTACAAAAAATGAGGCTAGTAAAAATCCCAATGACTCTATCCCTCTGGATTTTCCAAACCCGTCATACTCCCTACAGAGGATGCAATTGGATGAAGGCTGTATTTTTTGAGTAGGGAATAAGCACATGTGCGCTCTCCCGGGATTAAATAGAGCTCAGGGATCGTTTCTCCCCGCTAGGTGGCGCTGTTTTCCCTAAACAGTTTGCAAAAATATCCAATGTATAAAATAAATGCAACCCAACGCTGCCTTAAACCACATGACATAACATCAGCTTGCAAGCTCCCATTAAAATCTCAATTTGGGGAAATTGATTCTACCTCTGAGCAATTGCAATACAATTACTCCAACAGGCAGCAATCAAGAATCACATCAAAACAACACCAAACTTTCATCTCCTGCCCAAGAACCACCACCACAACGAAAAGCACCTGTCTTGCAAACACAACATGCTTTCCTTGAATACATATAACAACAGGCAAGTCCCTGAATGAAAACAACACTTAAAGAGGATGTTTTGCAACCTCGTTGGTGGTTTTAAAATGTCCTAACTCAAGGCTATATTCTGCCATCCTGACATTGATTAATGCCTTATTACCCACTTGAAATCAGTGGGACTTTTTGTTGAGTAAGGTATTACTCATCACCAGTAAAGGTAGCAGAATCTAGCCCTCTGAGATGAATGTAATGTTTGCTTTAGCCTACCTATATAGTTATCCATCTCTCTCTCTCTCGGTACTTCTTTGGCTCTCATTCCCATGGTGCCCGGATAGCTGTCAAACGCGCTAGTTTGATCTTGAAAACATTCTGTATTTTTAAATCATAGTAGATAGGAAAACGTCTCTCTCTCTCTCTCTCTCTCTCTACATACCCAGAGCATGCAATGAAGAGAAAGAATCAAAGCACAGAATGAGCATTTACAAATTGAGTGAGAAACTCTACAGAGGATCAGAACGGAACGCCCCAGATTCTCAACAGGTCCGAAGGCAGAAAGAGCACCTGGTTAAGAAGCAAATCAAAAGGCAATTAGGGAGGGAAAGGTGGGGGGGGGGAACATCATGCCGGAAACAGAGTCCAGGTAGCAACCCCAAAGCAGGTTAAGAAGGAAGCAAGCGAAGGTGCACAGGGATTCCTTGGGCGGGGGGTGCCCCTTTGTTGCAGGGAACAGACCCCAGGAGTTGGTGCCTTTCCCCCCCAATCCACTTCCCCTCAACCTCACCGGCTCTGGTGCTTACCTTATCGGCTGCATGAGCCCCTCCAGCCCGCTGGGGGGGAGGGTGTTAGTGGTAGGGAGGGGCAGATGGACGCTGGCAGGACCGGGAGGGGGGAGATCGTGGGATTGTCCGCAAAAGGGCAACCCCCCCTCCCTTCCCAAAGAGCCCCCCGGTAGGGTTAAGAGCTCGCCCCTCGCTTCAGCAGCAGGGCAGGGAGAGCAGCATCTTCCTCTCCAGCTGCATGTCTGCGAGAGACTGGCTGAGCCAGTGCAGGGTGTGAAAGGAAAGTGATTTCCCAAGCAGATCCCTCAGCCTGGGAGATAAAACGAAGCAGATAGACAGGCAGGCACACACACCCCCACCCCCCTGCTGCAAAGGCTCCGTGTGCTGGTGTGAGTAGGTTAGTTAGCATGCAAAAGGGGGGATGGAAAACAGAGGCAGCTCAGTGCAAGGCGAAGAGGAGGGGGAGAGAGCTGGTCTGTGGGTGTGCGCCCCAGTAATCCACAATCACAGGGATGGGGATGTGGGGGGGGGGGTTCAGCAGAAGAAAGAAAGTAATTAACAGTGGACAGGAAATTAGGATGCAGGCAAACAAACGGGGGAAGTGAATACACAGGACCCTGCCCACCCAGGTTTCATTCCTGTAGGGTTTAGATCTGGCAGCTTTCCATTTCTGCCCTGAAATAGTTAGGATTGTCCACCTGCAGCTCAGAGGAGGAGCAAACATCTGACATGGTCCCAGGAAAAAAGAGAGTTGGAAATGGTTATTTCCTGGGGGAAATGATAATCCCAGATACACATACTGTATGTGTGTATGTTGTGTGTGGTGAGTACGTGCATACACACGTGCACAACACACAGTTGTCATCTCTCTCTGTGGTGTTTTCTTAACACACAGAGTGGGAGGGAATACAGAAAGGATCGTCTAGAGGATAGTTCTGCTAATGTATGCATGCATTGTAGATAATGTATTGGGTAAAGCAAATAAACCCCAACATGCTTGGGCAAGTTGATTTTCTATTTTCACATTTTCCTAGCTGGGAAAAGAGAAGCGAACAGTACAGATGAAGGAGTGCAGCCGGGAGAGAAAAGAGAAACCAGTGCTTTGTTCCAGATGATAGAATCAGACAAATTACATAGAGAGGTAGATCTTTTATGTCCCATAGGCAGGGGGGAAATAAATAAAAGAGGAGAGAATCCATTCAAAGCTGTAAGTAAAATAGAGATTTAATATTCTCTGAGTTGCTGCTGTCAGTCTCACCACTCAGGTATGGGATACATGTGTGTTAAATCAAACTGCACGTATTGTACCCGTCACACAACTCATTAGGCGACCAAAGCTGTCGCCTGTGGAGTCAGTAAGAGTTTTGCCATTGGGAGCAGTGCGATGAAGAAATTACATACAAACCCAAATATTTAGGAACCTGGTCTAGACCTGACCTGGATCCCTCATTTTACCTTGGGACATGTAGTAACCAAGGTTGAGAGCCTGACCAACTGAATTCAGAACTAAAGAGAGGCCCCAGCGTGGAATAAGCCTACACTGAGCTATTTCCCTAGATGTTATTATTACTCCCTTTCCATTTTTTAATAGAAAGTGAATGAACGCAAAGCTCCGAAAGTCTGTGTGCCAGACAGACAATTAATTACTGCAGGCCCAGAGCTGCGAACATGCTAAATATGCAGTTGCCTTTGCAAGTGTGCAGATAGTAGCCACTCTTTGCAAAGCGTGTTTCGGTGTGGAAGGCAACAAACGCGAATGGCAGCTATCAACTGCTTGATTAAGTCTGCAAAAAAAGAAATGCATCCGAGTTTCACAATATGAGCGAGGGTGTATCGGGTGCAAATTAGAAACTGGGCATGCATTAACAATAACAAATACAAACATCCCCTGCTGCAAAGCTTCGGTAGAGCAACGAGGTCTTTTTTTGAGCATGAATCTCCCACGTAGACACTACTGAACAAGGACTAGTTTAATCTTGGGTCAGGTGTGAACCAGCTAGGGACAGTTTGATGCCTGGCATAAAACCAGTAGCATCTCTCTAATAATAACTCATAGTTTTATCATAGTATCCCGATGCCCCTCCATCAGGGACCCTCATTGCACTAAATACTGTACAGACACAGTAAAAAACAGAGCCTGCCCTGAAGACATTACAGGCTAATTTACGACAAGACACAACAAGTGAGTGTAACAAGGAAAAGAGGTGCGGAGTGGAAATGAGAACATGCATTTCCATACGCCAGCTGTGTGCACAGCAGGGTGGATTCCAGTCAGATAATTAAAAACCATGGTAAAGGTAGATATAAAAACATAACTAAGGTCCTGACTGACCCCCTACCTAGCTGTTAACCTTAGGCATCATCAGAGGAGTTGGCACCCATGGGAGTTGCTGTGTGTGGAGCACTATTGAAAATCTGGGCTTCATTGAGGTACCTGAATGGGAGCTGTGCTTTTTCCAAAATCTGACCCTAATCCTGGGTGCTGAGGTCTTGGAAATCAGGCCCTGAGCTTCTGTTGGAGAATCTGGTCCCTGGTGCTTCATGCAAAATACTGGATTGACATTGCAGGAGGTTGGAGCCTTCTCTCTGCAGAACAATCTCTTCTCTTCTGCACTGCACTCACATCAGTCACGGTCATCATCAGTGACTGGTGACTTAGTTATACAAGGAAGTAGTTTGTGGACAATATGACATAGCCACTTATTAGAATTCTCTTGTCCTTTCAAGTGGGCATTTCGCTCTTTGGTAAAGAAAAACAATCCGTCCTTCTGAACATGGACGCGATGGTGGGGCAACACAAGCTGGAAAGGAGATGACAGTTATTCCAGACAAACCAGAGAATCGAGGGAGAAGAGGAGAGGAAATCTTTGCTCTCCGTGAGTTAATGGATCCTGTGGTTAGCAGCCTGGGCTAGACCGTGGGGATGCTTTGGGCACTGGCCTAGCCACTGATGTAGGGCAGCTGATGGGATGTGGGAAGCATGTGAATCCAAGGATACTCACATGCCACTCCAAAAACGTCTCCTATCCAGTTAGAATTCCCTTTGGGTAGAATGCACAAGTACACGTTCATTCAAAAGAGACGTGTGGCCCTCTGAGGTGTCAACATTACATGAGCTGCGGGCTGCTGTCCAGGAATCACAGCAGCTTAATGCATCCCTGGTCAGTGCTCAGCACTGCAGCGGATGCTGTACCATGGGCATTCCTCTCCTCACAAGCTATCCACAATGTAACTGTTTGCTGCAAGGTCAGCTTCTCTGCTATGAGTTGGTGAGAAGGGGCCCGGAAGCTAGCAATGGTCAAACCAGTTCAGATTAGATGAGAACCAACCTGAACCTTAGCCCAAGACTGTTTCTGAGGTCCATTAAAAGATGGTTAACTATTAAAAACTCATCGTCCTGCCTTCTATGCAGGGCTGGGACCTGGCTGGGAAAAGAAGCAGCTCAATAATATATTTCCACAGGTTTTCTGGCCTGATTGGAATCAGGAACTATTGGAAATATCAAGACCATCTTGTCAGTATGAGTGGGCGTATGGGGTCCCTGGAAAGCAAGGGTGTGATGGGGTGACCCTGTCACCTGCTAGGGAAGGAACTGCCCCGCAGCATTAGAGACATGCTCCTCCTGTGGGGTGATTGACTGATTGCCACCCAGGCAGAGGGGGCGGAGCTAGGTGATGAGCCATTAGTCAGCTCAGCCTTATAAGGAGCCTGAGGGAGTCTGGGAAGACAGACTGCAGAGGATGCAGGAAGAAAGGAGAGCAGCAGAATACGGACCCTGGACTTCAGAAAAGCAGACTTTGACTCCCTCAGGGAACTGATGGGCAGGATTCCCTGGGAGAATAACATGAGGGGGAAAGGAGTCCAGGAGAGATGGCTGTATTTTAAAGAATCCTTATTGAGGTTGCAGGAAAAAACCATCCCAATATGTAGAAAGAACAGTAAATATGGCAGGCGACCAGCTTGGCTTAACAGTGAAATCCTTACTGACCTTAAACGCAAAAAAGAAGCTTACAAGAAGTGGAAGATTGGACAAATGACCAGGGAGGAGTATAAAAATATTGCTCAGGCATGCAGGAGTGAAATCAGGAAGGCCAAATCACACTTGGAGTTGCAGCTAGCAAGAGATGTTAAGAGTAACAAGTAGAGTTTCTTCAGGTATGTTAGCAACAAGAAGAAAGTCAAGGAAAGTGTGGGCCCCTTACTGAATGAGGGAGGCAACCTAGTAACAGAGGATGTGGAAAAAGCTAATGTACTCAATGATTTTTTTGCCTCTGTCTTCACGAACAAGGTCAGCTCCCAGACTGCTGCACTGGGCAGCACAGTATGGGGAGAAGGTGACCAGCCCTTTGTGGAGAAAGAAGTGGTTCGGGACTATTTAGAAAAACTGGACGAGCACAAGTCCATGGGGCCGGATGTGCTGCATCCGAGGGTGCTAAAGGAGTTGGCGGATGTGATTGCAGAGCCATTGGCCATTATCTTTGAAAACTCATGGCGATCGGGGGAGGTCCCGGATGACTGGAAAAAGGCTAATGTAGTGCCCATCTTTAAAAAAGGGAAGAAGGAGGATCTGGGGAACTACAGGCCAGTCAGCCTCACCTCAGTCCCTGGAAAAATCATGGAGCAGGTCCTCAAGGAATCAATTCTGAAGCACTTAGAGGAGAGGAAAGTGATCAGGAACAGTCAGCATGGATTCACCAAGGGCAAGTCATGCCTGACTAACCTAATTGCCTTCTATGAGGAGATAACTGGGTCTGTGGATGAGGGGAAAGCAGTGGATGTGTTATTCCTTGACTTTAACAAAGCTTTTGATACAATCTCCCACAGTATTCTTGCTGCCAAGTTAAAGAAGTATGGGCTGGATGAATGGACTATAAGGTGGACAGAAAGCTGGCTAGATCGTCAGGCTCAACGGGTAGTGATCAACGGCTCCATGTCTAGTTGGCAGCCGGTTTCAAGTGGAGTGCCCCAGGGGTCGGTCCTGGGGCCAGTTTTGTTCAATATCTTCATTAATGATCTGGAGGATGGCATGGACTGCACTCTCAGCAAGTCTGCAGATGACACTAAACTGGGAGGAGTGGTAGATACGCTGGAGGGTAGGGACAGGATACAGAGGGACCTAGACAAATTAGAGGATTGGGACAAAAGAAACCTGATGAGGTTCAACAAGGACAAGTGCAGAGTCCTGCACTTAGGACGGAAGAATCTCATGC